CTGTACAGCCAGGCCAATTGCCTACATATCTGGACTTTTTATTGTTTGTTTTGCTTTTTTTTGTTTGTTTTTCAGGCAGAATCTCCTCTGTTGCCCAGGCTGGAATGCACTGGTGTGATCTCAACTCATTGCAACCTCCACCTCGCAGGTTCAAGTGATTCTCCTGCCTCAGCCTCCCGAGTAGCTGAGATTACAGGCGCACACCACCATGCCCAACTAATTTCTGTATTTTTAGTAGAGACGGGGTTTCTCCATTATGGCCAGGCTGGTCTCCAACTCCTGACCTCATGATACGCCTGCCTTGGCCTACCAAAGTGCTGGGATTACAGGTGTGAGCCACCATGCCTGGCCTCTGTTACCACTTTTGGATTGTATGAAATACTATGCATCCAAGTATGGGATCTGGCTTCCCAGACAGCTGCCAAAAGGGCAGGTGATGCAATCTAGAAGTGTAGGGGAGTTCGTGCCTGTGGGATATCTATTGCCTCTGAAGTGAATTTTCTTTTTTTTTTTTTCTTTTTCTTTATTATTTAGAGATAGAGGCTCTGTCGCCCGGGCTGAGGTATAGTGCCCTGATCTCGGCTCACTGCAATCTCTGCCTCCTGAGTTTAAGAGATCCTCCCCCCTCAGCTGCCCTGGTATCTGACACTACAGGCATGCACCACCAATGCCTGGTTAATTTTTTTATTTGTATTTTTAGAAGAGAAGGGGGGGTTCACCATCTTGGCCAGGCTGGTCTCGAACTCCTGACCTCAGGTGATCCACCCGCCTGAGTCTAGCAAAGTGCTGGGATTACAGGCATGTAATCGCAGACTGCACCCAGCCTGTCACATTTCTTTTGGAGAATAAAACAGGTTGAGTCTTGTGCCAAAATGAAGGGGAAGCTGCACCCAGACAGGTAACAAAATACTATATACAATAATAGATAGGTTTTCTATATACCAATAACAACCATTTAGAAAACCAAATTGAGAAAAATTACACTTATGTAGTGACAAAAATACATAAAATATCTAAAACCAGATGATTGGAGCAAGATGGTGGATAGATCCCGTGCCCCACTCAACATTCCATTGAACTGGGAAGAAATGTTTTCAAGGGTCAATTCTTAACAGTGGAGGAAGATAGGAAAACAGGTCAGTGGTCCACCAGAAATACTGAGGCTTTCCTGGGAGATAGAGTAGATGGGATCAGACTGATAGAGAAACCCAAGAAGACAAGACCACAGCTCAAATCACTGTAGGAAAGAGATGCTGTTTGTTTTTTGAGACAGAGACTTACTCTGTCGCCCAGGCTGGAGTGCAGTGGTATGATCTCGGCTCACTGCACCCTCTGTCTCCCAGGTTCAAGTGATTCTCCTGCCTCACTCCCCACAGTAACTGGAATTCACAGAGGCCAGCCACCACTACGGGTAATTTTTGTATTTTTAGTAGAGATGGGGGTTTCACCCAGTTGGCCAGGCTGGTCTCCAACTCCTGACCTCAAGTGATCTGCCTGCCTCGGCCTCCCAAAGTGCTGATATTACAGCATGGGTCACCGCGCCCGCCCAGGAGATGCTCATTGTAGCAAAGCCTCTGAAAATCTCCAAACCCTGAATCAAACAAACAAACAAACAACAACAACAAAAAAAAAGAGCTGGAAAAGACCTTAGGATAGTCATCAGGTAGGTTAATTTAAAAGTTCATTTGAAATGTCTGAATCAGCCAGATTCCCCTCCAACACCACACTCAGATTGGCTGGCAGTAGCCACTTTTGCCTCTAAGATGAAACTCTGATAATTGTACATTAAAGCAATGAAGGCCTGGCGAGGTGGCTCACACTTGTCATCCCAGCACTTTGGGAGGTTGAGGCAGGATGATTGGCTGAGGCCAGGAGATACAGACCAGCCTGGACAAAATAGTGGATGCCGTCTCTACCAAAAATACAAAAATTAGCTGGGTGTGGTGGCATGTGCCTGTAGTCCCAGCTAGAATGGAAGCTGAAGTGGGAGAATCCCTTGAGCCTGGAAGATCGAGGCTACAGTGAGCTGGACTTGCATCACTGCACTGCAGCCTGGGCGACAGAGTGAGATCCTGTCTCAAACAACAAAAAAAAGTAATATATCAGGACTTGGTGTACCTTCAGTCTTTCACAGTAATAGTGAAGGAGAGAATCACATTTGTGGAGAGGGGACCATGTTCACTCTTTATCTGTTCACGATAGTCGGGAGCTTTATATACCCAAGGAACCTAAGGAAAAATGTTCCCTGTCATGACTCACAATCTTCCAGCCACCCTTTCTCGCACCTGTCTTGTGGGCTGGGGGACCCAACTTATGGATCCCATCTTCCCAGGGAGAAAGAAAAATCAAATCCTTCAGTATCTCTTTTGGGGCATGCTCTCCTCTATTTGCATGGAGGATAAGGCACTCAATATCTAGTATCGGAATGTTACATTTGTGTAATACAGAACTATATTGGGATAAAATAGAATTTGTCTCCTCCGAGACACAGGTAGAGGTACGTCCACACTGACCTGGGTGGCAGCCACCTCTTCCTGCAGTGCCAGGCAGGGCATGCTCACAGATCTGGGGAACCTCTGCTGCTCCTGGAGCCCCACAACCTCCTTCCTGGCACCCTCTCACTCTGGTGGCTGTGACAGCCCACATGTGGCTTTGTGTCTCCCCTGCTTCTTTGCCTGCCCGTCTTCTGCCCACCCTGCATATCTCTGTCTCCCACTGTCCCCACTATGACCACGTTTGCCTCTCCCTCCCTGCACTCTCTCTGTTCAAGTGATCCTTGTCTTGGGAAAATGAACCCACAGCCTCTACATTGTGATTGGGGGCAGCATCCGGGACTTGTTCAATTCTCCCTCCCTCCATCACACACATCTGTCCTCCTTAATGTTTCTAAAGTCAGTGAGCTCCAAATTCAGCCCCTCCTGCACCTGCCAGCTGTAGGACCTGTGACAAGATGCTTACCATCTGTCTGGGACTCCGTCTCTCATCTATCATATAGGCATAATGATGATAGTGTCCTCCTTCCAAGGCTGGGGAGAACCAGGAGGCCAAAGTGATGGGCCACGGATGGTCAAACTGCTCCAATCCTGCCTCCACTCAGGTCTGGTGTTTCAAGTCCATTGTGTGTGAATGGAGCTTTGATGTCTCCATTCACACACAATGGTTTGTTCTAAAACAGACTCCCCTCTGCCCTTCCTTTCCCCACAACAGTTTCACCTCTGCACTGTGCAGTGGTACCTGTGAGAAAGAACTGTCCCATTCCCCAATCATCGTCCCCACCCCAGACCCCAGGCCTTTGGTTGGTGAGACCCTTGATGGGCAGTCTCATGCTTCTGTCCAGGGGACTTTCCCACCATTGCTCCCCTGCATGGAGACTAAGTGGACTCTTCTATTCCCTTCCATCACAGGGTCTACAGTGAACACATCTTCCTCATTCCTCCACGTTCCCCAGATGACGATTTCATCTGTGTCTCCTCCCACATACTCCCAAATGGACAGTCCCAGCCATAGAATCCGAAAATCATCTAGAGAGCAAAGGCCAAGATGTCCAACCCCCTGCTGCAGAATCCTGCTCCAGGAATGAGGTGTATAGTCTCTATCAAAATGAAAACTGGAGGCCAGGTGCGGCAGCTCATGCCTGTAATCCCAACACTTTAGGAGGCCAAAGTGGGAGGATCACTTTGGCCTAGGTAACGGAGCGAGACTTTCTTGACAAAACCCAAAAAATTAGTGGAACATGATGGTGCGTGCCTGTAGTCACAGCTTCTCTGGAGGCTGAGGTGGGAGGATTGCTTGAGCCCACAAGTTCAAGGCTGCATTAACCTATGATCGTGCCACTGCACTCTATTCTGGACACAGCAAGACCCCCCATCTCTAGAAGAAACAAACAAACAAACAAAGACAACAACTGGACACATCCTCCTCTAGAATGGTGGTCAGGAACATCTGTCTGCCTTGTTCCCTGATGTCTCTCCAGCACCTAGAACAGCGCTCAGCACGAGGACGCACTCATTAGGTTTTTGTTGAATAAATGACTCCTTTGACGCAGCAATTCCACTTCTAAAAATCTTTCCTAAAGAAATATTCACACACGTGCATAGAGCTGTGTGCACAGTAATGAGAGGAGCAAACAACTGGGGAATGTTTGCAAATGTTTATTAACTGTCAGAGACTGATACAGGAAAATCGGATGAGGGAAGTACATGATGAACAGGAAACGGAGTGAGCGGGGCTTGAGCAGGATGCACGGCAATGGGAAAAGCAGACGGGAGATGCTTATAGTGGTTCTTGGTGTGTGTGTGGAGGGGGGGGTGTAAATGTAGAAGAAAAAATCTGAAATTAAACACTCAGAACTGCCCTCAGTAGTCACATCTGGGGAGAGAGGAAGGTAGTGCTGTTCTATGCAGAGAATACCTGACAATACTTGTTTTCTAAGGTAGATGCATGGATACACAAACCGAAATATGCATTAAGTATGTCTTGCTGATCAGTGAAAATGCTAATATCTAACAAAATGGCACACTGCAAGAAACTACAAGGGAAATGCTAACATGGAACGCTTGGCACACTAAGAAAAATGACGCTCAACTTTTCACTGTTGTGAACACTTGCTTTCACTTGCTATACACCTGATGACAAGGGGTCCGCCGCCATGCCCATGTTTGTGAAAGGTCACCAAGGTCTGCTTCTCATCATGGGCATGTGTCATATCCCTGAGGCTGAGGCAAAAAGAGAGAAGGAAAGTAAGTGGCAGTGAGTTCCCACAGCGTGACAACTCAATCTCAAGTCCTCCTGACTTGCAGACCCTGCACACTCCGATTCTGCCCTACCTCAGGACCTGCACACGCCTTCCACGGTTCCTTGAAGTGAACCATCTGCTCATGCCACAGTGACCTCCTCACTTGTTTTATCCATTCCAAGGCTAGAGGAAAGTGTGGCCCGTGTATCAGGGCTGACCTCCGGTTTGGGATCCCACAGCATCCTGGGTAAGGAGCATCCCTGGATATAAAGGGTAGGGAGTAGAAAGAGCATGGGAAATCTCATCATTCAGCCTCAATGCTGTACCCTAGAAAATTATGAGAAGGGAATGATTTGGGGGACAAGTGATAAGATGGGATACCAGTACCATAACAGAATAGCACATCTGCAGGGATGTGGGGAATGAGTCCAAGGTTCACTTAGGGAGTTACTCTTCATCTTCCTCAGCGTCGCTGATCTCTTCATAAATCACCAGCTGCTTTCTCTCACGCAGTCTGTGGGTCCAGGCATGTTTCCCCCTTTTGGGTCCTATGATGGAGAAGAGTTGGAAGATGAGGGTTGGGTAGGCTGGAGAGTGTTAGGCTCTGTTTACTCAAAAAACAGGAGATGCCTCCCCGCTCCCAAGTGCCCATGGGCCTTCTTTATCCAGGTTTTCACATTCTCTGGCTTAGAGAGGCTGAAACCTTAGACCCACACTAATACAGGCCAAATGCCAATTGAAGTTTTAGCTTCTGGCTCCTTCCCTTGTCAGGCTTAGATTCCCAACCTCTTCACTTATAGGAACATTCACCCATACCTCCTTTCATTCAGCACATATTTATTAAGGCCACACAGGCATACCTTGTTTTATCGCACCTCATTTTCATAGTGCTTCACAGATGCTGTAATTTTTTTTTTAATTCTCACCAATTTTACACTTTTCCATTATTATTATATCTATTATGTGATCTGTCATCAGTGAGCTTTGATATTATTACTGCAATTGTTTTTACTGTTTTTTAGTCTTTTAAAATAATTTTTGTTTTTTATTTTTGTGGGTCCACAGTAGGTGTATATACTTATGGGGTACATGAGATGCTTTGATACAGGCATGCCATGCGTAATAATCGCATCATGGAAAATCGAGTATCCATCCCCTCAACCATTTATCCTTGGTTACAAACAATCCATTTACACTCTTTTAGTTTTTTTTAATGTACAATTAAGTTATTATTGACTATAGTCACCCTCTTGTTTGTAATAGTTTTGGGGGTAACAGGAACTGTACCCATAGACGATGATAAACTTAATCGACCAATGTTGTGTGTGTTCTGACTGCTCCACCAGTGAGCTGTCCCGGGTCTCTCTTCCTCTTCTTGGGCCTCCCTATTTCCTGAGACACAGGAATACTGAAATTAGGACATTGAACAATCCTACAATGGCCCCGAAATGTTCAAGTGAAAGGAAGAGTTGCATGTCTCTCACTTTAAATCAGAAGCTAGAAATGGCTAAGCTGAGTGAGGAAGGCATGCTGAAAGCCAAGACAGGCTGAAAGCTCGGCCTCTTGCACCAAACAGCCAAGCTGTGAATGCAAAGGAAAAGTTCTTGAAGGAAATAGTAATACTAATACTCCAGTGAACACATGAATAACCAAGCAAAACAACCTTATTGCTGAAATAGAGGAAGTCTGAGTGGTCAGGATAGAAGATGAAACCAGCCACAACATTCTCTTAAGCCAAAGTCGAATTCAGAACAAGACCCAAACTCTCTTTAAGTCCGTGAAAGTTGAGAGAGGTGAAGAAGCAGCAGGAGACACGTGTGAAGCTAGCAGAGGTTGGTTCGTGAGGTTTAAGGAAAGAAGCCGTCTCCATAACATAAAAGTGCAAGGTGAAGCAGCAAACCCTGATGGAGAAGCTGCAGCAAGTTATCTGGAAGATCTAGCTAAGATCACTGTTGAAGGTGGCTACACTAAACAACAGATTTTCAATGTAGATAAAATAGCCTTCCATTGGAAGGTGATGCCATACAGGACTTTCATAGCTACAGAGGATTGATTCCAACTTTGAAAGAAGTTCTACTGTGGGTAAAATGTTATCCAATAGCATCACATACTACAGAGAAATACTTCATGAAAGGGAGAGCTAATCTATGTGGCATATTTCATTGTTGTGTTCTTTTAAGAAACTGCCACAGACACTCCAAGCTTCAGCAACCACCACCTTGATCAGCCAGCAGCCATCACCACCGAGGCAAGACCCTCCCTCCACCAGCAAAAAGAGTGTGACTCACTGGAGACTCAGAAGATTGTTAGCATTTTTAACAATGAATTATTTTAAAATTAAGGTATATACATTTTTAGACATAATGCTGTTGCACACTTAGTAGACTACACTATAGTAGAAACAATGTTTTTATGCACTACCAAACCAAAAAAAAGAAAAGTCTGTGACTCACTTTATTGCAGTGGTCTGGAACCAAACCAGCAATATCTCTGAAGTACATCTATATTGGGTATCAGGCACTGAGCTAAGTATGATATGATCCTAGGTAATCACAGATAGAATTGCTTGAGCACCTTTCACGTCATCAGGCCTTCTAGATTTAATTTAATGCCTCCAAACAACTTATGAACTATGATTATTTCCATCTTATGGACTAGGTATCTGGAGCTGAGAAAATCTGAAAGACTTACCCCAAGTCACGTGGTTTTTTCTATGGGTGACAACTCAAGTCTGTGCCTCTGGAAGTCATGTCTAACATCTCATCTGGAGCTGGGCGAGCTCCTCAGCCCAACCTGGACCCAGGCTTGTCTGGGATCCATGCCACACACCCAGTCCCCACACCTGAACATAGCCAGGGAAGCCAGAGGGGTTGTTCCCGAATTGCTTCCTCTTACCAGATGTCACGTTAATCTTCTCAGAGGTACTTGGTTTTCCCAAGGGGCACAACTGTTTTCCATTGTTTTGTGAGCCAGATGCTTCTGACATTCCCTTCGAATTATTTCCTTCCTCTGCTGGCATCTTGGGCATGATCTTTATAATGTGAAGGTTACAGATAAACAGTATCAGTGACATTTCTATAGTGCTTTTGAGCTTACAAAGCATTTTCCCATGCATTAACTTAATTAATGCTCTCAACAACACTGGGAGAGTTACATAGGCCTAAATTAGAAGAAACCTGGGAGGTTAGATGGGAAAGGAATGGCCTATGTGAATATGGTTTCCAGAGCTAGAATGCTTATCTCCACACTCTTTTAGGACTGACATTCTTGCAAACAGCAAAATTCTCCATGTAATTGAGAGTGTCATATACAGAAGATTTGAAGAAGAATAGCATTCTAAGAATTCACAAGGTCTACAAAAGGAAGAGCTTCTATAAAATACAAGGGATCCCATATAAGCTTGTAGATAGCTGCTGGGGAGAGTATATGTAAAAACATAGAGAAGGGACAAAAAACTGCTGGGAAAGATAGTGTGGGGAGATGAATACAGGAAAGGGAGAAGGAAAGAAATGGTTTGCTGAAATTAATCTAAGCAGCAAAGAAAGCAGTACCAGATATGGCATACCACCCCACAGAGGCACCAACATTGAATGTGGAATTCAGTGAAGTGGTACCCATACCAATTCTGCTTGCATTGGAATGTGTCACTGACCAACAACCTTAAGCTACTTTTTTTTCTTTCTTTTTTTTTTTTTTTTTTTTTTCTAAGACGGAGTCACGCTCTGTTGCCAGGCTGGGGTGCAGTGGCATGATATCAACTCACTGCAACATCTGACTCCTACATTTAAGCGATTCTCCTGCCTCAGCCTCCAGAGTAGCTGAGACTACAGGCAGGAGCTACCACACCCTGCTGAGTTTTGTATTTTTAGTAGAGACATGGTTTCATCATGTCGGGCAGGATGGTCTTGATCTCTTGACCTCGTGATCCGCCCACCTCGGCCTCCCAAAGTGCTGGGATTACAGTCTTGAGCCACCGTGCCTGGCTCTTAAGCTACTTTTTATTCAACTTCCTCACTTATGAAATAGTGAACAATACATGTAAAATAGGCTACGGGAAAGTCCTCTCTGAGCTTGTAAACACTGTTTAAATGTAGTAATAATAACAACTAATACCTTTCATGATCCTTCTTTGAATTCAGTCTACACACTGGCCACCCAACTCCCAGATCCCTATACTCTCTAACCCAGAGTTGAATCTGCAGTTGTAGGGTCACTCATTCAGGGGCCTCCGAGGGATCACTGGGCTGGGATGGGGGCTTCCCGGATGCTCCAGGTACAGACAAGGCCCTCAAGGAGCTCACAGTAAGGAAGGGCCAACAGTCAAAGCGATTCCTAAGCCATGCAGATGGCCCCAGTAACACAGCAGAGACCAGCTGGTCCTTCCTGTTACAAGAGTAAGTGTCTCAATGGAAGCTCCAGCAGGCGCTATGAGGTAAAGCCCTAGTGAGCAACATCCAAACTTCATAAAAAAATGCAAACATGAATGAGTTTTAAATGGTTTGGAGCTCTGGATTAGACTACCACTGCCACTGCACCTCAGGAACATTCATTAACATCTCTGTACCACGACAGCCTCATTTTATTATTATGTCGCTGATAACTAGGATCTATAACATGAACTATGATTCTTTACTTCCATTGCATGGACCAGGAATCTGGAGCTGAGAGGACTTAGAAGATTTGCACCAAGTCACATGGCTTTTATACAGATGACAACCGAAGTGTGTGACTCTTTATTATTTGGAGATAATAATAGAAACATCATAGAGGTCTTCTTATGGATTAAATAAATGAATCCATGTGAACTGTTTAAAATACTATCTGGCATCACTATGAAAACAAAAGAAGTATTAAGGATCACAACTCTTAGTATTATCAAGCTGTTGATGCTACATCAGTTGTTGTGATAGACATGGGGAGAAGGAGGCAGTGAAGGCATTTTTTATATTCTCCCACTCTTACCAGTGTTCGCATCTGTGGAGGGACAAAGGTTCTCTGGTCCTTTAGATTTGAGAGATACTCACCTTCAGGAAGATTCCCTGGAGCCTGCCGAAAGTCATCTGAGGACATTCAACTGAAAGAGAATACATCAGAATTTTTCTTTGTTGGTAAAGATTTCCAAACTCTAGAGAGACTTCTGTCGCATGAGGGCATTCTGCAGCAGAGGGTTTTCCGTCCACTCATTGTTGAGGAGTTATGTGAGATTTGCTTCTGAATTATGTTCAGTCCTGGTTGGTGCATTTATCTGTGGCATCAGTTCAGAATTTTCCATCTCATGGTTTATCAAATGGGGGTTAAACCCCATCACAGTCTCATCTTCTTCCATTACATATCTTTCACTTTTTCCCAAATAACTAAATTGATTGTTTGGGAATCTGAACTGTATTCACTCAAGATGTGCAACAACTGAAAATCATTGTACACTTGAAATGGGTGAATCTTATGGTATGTCAATTAAGCTCTTAAATGTGTGATGAACTATGGATGATTTAGTCCAGTGGCTCTGAAATATTTTCAGTATAAAGACACTCCTTTAATGTCAAAAACTTGGCAGATACTCAAGCACTGGATTTTCAGATCTCTTATAGTGATGGTGGGAGGTGGTAGAATCTGGCCTGTTTAGTTGGGGTCTATTGGAGACAGTTTGGACATTCTGACCTTGTCTTATAACTGTGTTTTCAGAACAGAAGAGCAAGTAAACACATATGTCCCCTTTATATTCCTGAAATGTACAAAGATTTCTACCCAATAACCTGTCGTTTTATCACCCCATGTTATCTCTCCTCACTGACAAGTGGGAAAGCTCTCTGTGTGTTGGATGAGGGATCACTCTTTCAAACTCACCTCCGAGCTCATCACAAAGAATCAGGGTTCTTTGGGAATGAGAAGACTATTTGGTTTTGATAAAATGCAGAGAAACAGCAACCTTTTTTACATAATGTGTTCATCACCCCTACTACTAAGATACCTATCCAATACCTACATGCTGTTAATGAAACAAACTCGGGGAGTCTTTGCAGATCTACAGTTTTAACATTTGCTTTCTTTTTTTTTTTTTTTTTTCACTTGTAACATTTTCTTAACTGTCCTTTGATTCATTAACAGTGCTTAGGAAGAGCAACATGTCCTTTAAAAACGAAATATTTCAAACACACAGAAAAGTATGGGGAATAATATTGAGGCCAGTCGGATCTCAACATTACCCCACAGCTATGTTAGGTCTGATTTATTAATTCAGAATATTAGAAATACTACAAACAGACCGGGAGTGGTAGCTCACACTTGTATTCCCAGCACTTTGGGAAGCTGAGTCGGGTGGATCACCTGAGGTCAGGAAGTTTGAGACCAGCCTGGTCAACATGATGAAACTCCGCCTCTACCAAAAATTTAAAAATTAGCTGGGTGTGGTGGCGGGCGCCTGTAACCTCAGCTACTCCGGAGGCTGAGGCAGGAGAATCACTTGAACCCGGGAGGTGAAATTTGGAGTGAGCTGAGATTGCCTTATTGCACTCTAGCCTGGTCGACAAGAGCGAAACTCCATCTCAAAAACAAAAACAAACAAAACACACTATCAACAAGTCACAGCTGAAGCTGTCTGTGCAGCACTCACCAATCTCTGCCCTCCCTCCTTCTCCACTTACAGCCAGTCACCTTAATTTGATGTCTTTTTATTCACATTCATGCTTGTATACATTTACTACTTACTTATTTTCCATAAAAATAAATATTCTTGTTTTGCATGTTTTAAAATTTTATATGAATGGCCTCTGTAGTTAACTTTCTGTATGCATTTTGTTTTCACTCAGCCCTGATGTGTATGAGGGAACAAATGCCTGAGGATCTTTCCCAGGTAGCTGAACTGAAAAGCAGTTGGACTTGAGGAGACCCTTTCCAGCCCCTTCCCATCTACTCACCCTGATTCCCGCGGTTACAGTCATTATCAGAATCATTCCCCTGGAAGTCTGTGGCCCATTTATTACGCATGAAAGGTGGGAGGGTTACCTTGAAACCTAGAAAGAAGCCAAATGTTTATTCCTTAAGAGACAAGCTTAGGCCTGGCACAGTGGCTCATGTCTGTAGTACCAGCACTTTGGGAGGCTGAGGCTGGAGGATTGTTTGAGGCCAGGAATTCGAGGCTGCAGTGAGCTATGATTGCACTACTGCACTCTAGCCTAGGTGACAGACTGAGACTCTGACTCAAAAAAGAATAAAAAGAAAAAGAAAGATACAAGCCGAGAGAAGGTAGGGGTCAGTGTGTGTGGGGTGGGGATGGAGGGAGTTGCCGGGATGCCACAGAGACCGTTGGGCTCATCAGAAAAGACGCCCATGGGAGAGAAACGTGCAGGATCCAGGTACGAGCTCCACTGTGGCCAGTCCCTCCCCTCAGCCCTGACAGGACACAGAAGAGCAGAGCACTCAGAAGCTGCCTTGCGATTTTCCCTGCACAAAAGGAAAATGTGGGGTACTTTCTGCAGCCTAAGAAGTAGGCAAAGCAGGAAAAGGGATGCTCATATGTCCCCAGACTTGTCTGTACCTAGAACTTTCTGTTACCTAGTTTAGTCATGGCCTCATACTTTCTCTTCATGTACACACAGATGATTTTCTCCGAGTATTTCATCTTTTCCCATTCTTTCTTAGAGAAGTATTGGGCAATATCATTGAAGGGCTAGAAAAAAAAAAAAGAAATTTTGGCAGTGACTCAGCTAGGCATGTCTGCCATTCAGATTGAGCCACTTCCTGTGTGCTGGATCTCGGAAGTAGGGATGATATACCATTCTGGCTGATGCCATGGCTAACTGACAGAACATGGGGGACTTTCCTTAGCTTCTCCCCTGCCACACAGTAGGGCTTTAACGCTGCTGGCTGGCTCTCTTCCCACCTTCCAGAATGAACTGAAATTCACTAAATGTAGTGCATGGTCACAGACTTGTCTCCAGGGATGCTAGGTGATGACAGAGCAAGGATGGGAAACTCACAAGGGTCCAGATCTCCTCCAAGTCCCTGCTTCTTGTCCCCATTATCTCTGTCTTCCCCTCCTCAGAAACCTAGTCACCCCACACTGTCCCCTGGGCCACTACTCTGCCCCCTCCAGGTCACCTCACCTTTTGTATCTTCTCTGGTATTTGAGCACCAACCCTAGGTCTCCTTGCAAAGGCGTCGTCTCCGTTTATGGTACTGGGAGCAGTCTGACCTGCAAGAGAAACTGCCTGAGTCTTTCCAGCCGCAGGACCTTTGGTCCTGTGGAGGGAGAAATCAGTGAAGGCCGGCCACACTTAGTCACCTGGAATCAGGTGCTGCATTTCTCCGTCCAGGGCTTATCTGTCCCTGAGTAAGAACATGGGGAGAAGTGAGATGAAAACAGGGAGCCAAGGGTCTCTGGGAGAAGTATTGATTTGGGATGACAGGTTTCTTATGGGCAAGGCAGCCTTGAGTCTTTGAGAGGGGTTTGGCTACTGTTGTTAGTAGTTTTCCTGGGGGCTAGGCTTACCCTAAAAGATGTACAGACCCTTGTTGGGGAGGCAGGGATGTGACTGTGTAATTTTATTCAGTGGGGACATTCTGACACCCCCACTCAATAAATAAAGGAAGGGAAGTGAGTCCCAGAGATAACATGGTCTCTCTGGTGATGGATCTGATCAGGCAGAGGGATGGGGGATTCTGTTCTGTTGAAGAGAAATGAGCATCACTACAATGAACGTGTTTAGAGGCTATTACTGGGTGATTTGTAAATTATTAGAAGGAAGAGAGCTGGAATTTCTGAGACTGTAAGAGCCCGCCATCACTTAGAGAGAATGTGGGGCGTTTCAAGATGCATCAATCAGCCAGGCGCAGTGGCTCACGCCTGTAATCCTAGCACTTTGGGAGGCCAAGGCGTGCAGATCGCTTGAGCCCAGGAGGTCGAGACCGGGCTGGGAAACATAGCAAAACTCCCGTATCTACGAAAAATACAAAAAGTTAGCCAGGGGTTGGGGAGCAGGTCTGTACCATTCCAGCACTTTGGAAGGCCGAGGTGGCGGATCGCCTGAGCCCAGGAGCTTGAGACCAGGCCCGCAAACACAGTGAAACCATCTCTACTAAAAAAAAAAAAAAAAAAAAAATTAGCAGAAGCTGGGTGGTGCGCCCCTGTGGTCCCAAGGCCTAGGCAAGAGGATCACATCAGCCCAGCATGAAAGATTTTAGTGAGCTTTTATTCTTTTTTTTTTTTTTCAGACAGGGTCTAGCTCTGTTGCCAGGCTGGGGTACACTGGCGTGATCATGGCTCACTGCAACCTCCGCCTCGTGGGTTCAAGCGATCCACCAGCTGTGGCTTCCAAAAGTGCAGGGATTACAAGCATAAGCCACCGCACCCAGCCCAAATTTCTTAAGTTACTACAGAGTTTCTAGGAAAAATCCCATACCTGAAAAAGTTAGAAACTGACAGGAAGGATTTGAGATGGCGACCTGCTTCATATACACTCCTTATTAAAACTAGATAACAAACGCACCACGGAGGAGGAGAGGGGTAGGAAGAATGAAAAAAGAAAATCAGCGCATGCTTACTCTGATTTTGGAAGAATCGAGAGAATCAGAGCGTGCGTCCTCTGAGTGTGGAAGAAACGAAAGAGAGAGAAAGTCAGAGCATGCGTACTCTGAACTGAAAGTAGCCAATCCCAGGGGATGCTTTCGGCGGGAAAATGAGAGTCTCCACCCTCACCTTGAGCAGGTTCTGCCCCTAGAGCCTGGACTGATAAAAGCCACATCAGCTTCGCTTATTCCGCCTACTATTCTGACTTCTGATTGGCCAGATGGAGTTCACTAACTGCCCTGATTGGTCCATCATCCTTGGGCAGTGACATTGCACAATAATGTCTCATCCTCCAGCCACACTTTGTCACCACTGCAACAAAGTGGGTGGTCCTCAGGAGTCGTCAGGAGATTTTGATCTCTCTGAAGACCGTCCCTGGATCTTGGGTTAAAAATCTGTATTCTAATCTGAACCATGGGAAGAAAAAAATAGTCATCTGTGATTTTTCTGCTTGAAAGACACAGTGTTTTCCAAACTAGCACATTTGGGAGGTTTGCTGTACTTAGTTGTGGCGTTCATCCTTCAGTGGCTTCTATATCTGTTGCAACTCAGAAAACAGTCCAAGGCTCTCCAACCTCTGATTACATTTTTGAAAGGGAATCTAAGTGTGGTGCGCACAATTACCATCCTTTACCTGTAGCCCTGGCGAGAGAAAACTGTATTTACTTATGGGATGTGATTGTGGTGTTGTTTACATCTGCCTTGGCCAATCCTCCCGCCTCATTCTTGGGACTACAGGCGTAAACCATCCCACCCCCACTAATATTTTTTATTTTTTGATTTTTTAATAGAGATGGTTTCGCTGTGTTGGCCAGATTGGTCTCGACGTCCTGGGCTCAAGCGATCCTCCCACCTTGGCCTCAGGACTAAGGGCATTCACCACCCTGCCCATGCTTTTTTTTTTTTTTTTAGTAGTAGAAACCAGGTTTTGCTATGTTGGCCAGGCCGGCATCAAGCTCCTGTGCTCAAGGGATCCTCCCGCCTTGGCCTCAGGACTACAGGCATGCACCACCCTGCCCAAGCAATTTTTTGTTTTGTTTTGTTTCATGTTAGTAGAAACCGGGTTTCGCTATGTTGCCCAGGCTGGCCTCAATCTCTTGGGCTCAAATGATGCTTCCACTTCAGCCTCAGGACTACAGGCATGTGCCATTCTGCCTTACTCATTTTTATTTATTTATTTATTCATTCATTCATTCATTCATTCATTCATTTTTTAGGAGAGACAGGCTTTTGCTTTGTTGGCCAGGCTGGTATCGACCTCCTGGGCTCAAGCAATCCTCCCACCTTGGCCTGGGAACTACACGGGTGAGCCACCCCACCCATGCTTTTTTGTTGTTGTTCTTGTTGTTAGTAGAAATGGGGTTTCGCTATGTTGGCCAGGCTGCCCTCGACCTCCTGGGCTCAAGCAATCCTCCCGCCTCGGCCTTGTGACTACAGGCTCACACCACCCTGCCCCTACTAATATTTTTAATTTTTCTATTAGAGATAATTTCGCTATGTTGTCCAGGCTGGTCACTACCTTCTGGGCCCAAGTGATCCTCCCGCCTCGGACTGGGGACTACAGGCATGCACCACCCTGCCTTTTGCTATTTTTCCCAGGCTGGTCTTGACCTCCTGGGCTCGCTCAATAATTTGATCCCGGGAAATGGAGGTTGCATTGAGCTGAGAGCACAGCACTGCACTCCAGCTTGGGCGACAGAGCAAGACTGAAAAAAGAGAAAGAAAGAGAGAAAGAGAGAGAGAGAGAAAGAGAGAGAGAGAGAGAGAAAGAGAGAAAGAGAAGAAAGAAAAGAAAGAAAAACGAAAGGAACGAGGGAGGGAGGGAGGGAGGGAGGGAGGATGGAAGGAAGGAAGACCAGCTGAATCTCCATAAGAACAGTGAGCTTAGTGGTATTTTTTACTTACCCTCGTCCCATCTCATGCTCCCAGCTTGGTTCTGTTCATTGCTGATGAAATACAGATAGGATTGGCCAGAACCGGTAGATGGCTGGCTGTTGATCATGAAAATGTCAGACCTGATACAGTCCTTGGAAAGGCCCTTTCTGGGGGCTGATACTCTGTGTCTGCAGTGCTGTGGGACAATGGCATAATGCTGATCATTAAGCCAGGGGAACATGGGTCCACACATGGTGGCAATCCACTAGGCTGCTGAATGGCCATTGCAGCCCTCGAGGTTTTAGAAGAAGAAAATCTTGCTGAAAATGCAGGGGAAAAAATGGGTATTATCTTGAGAAATGAACCCATGAAGCTACCTTCTGATGTTGTAACTGCCATAAGAGGAACAGAATTCTTTTTTTTTTTTTCTTTTTTGAGTCAGAGGTTCACTCTGGTTGCCCAGGATGGATTGCAATGGTGCGATCTCGGCTCACTGCAACCTCTGCCTCCTGGGTTCTAGCGATTTTTCTCCCTCAGCCTCCTGAGTAGCTGGGATGACAGGCATGCACCACTATGTCCGGCTAATTTTTGTATTTTTATTAGAGACAGGGTTTCGCCATGTTGGCCAGGCTGGTCTCAAACTCCTGACCTCAGGTGATCCACCTGCCTTGGCCTCCCAAAGTGTTGTGAGACATTGTGCCCGGGAGGAAAAGAATTATTAAATGCTATTGCTATTAAAGAAACCAATGACTGTAATGCTTGGAAGGTGTGTCTACGACTTCGAGTTTATGGACTTCTGGCCAAGCCCACCCATGGTGACATCATCAGGTTTCACCTCTGCTGATGTTCATGCAGGATGAGATTCAAGAGTCCAGTGAAATCATTAACAAGACCATCTTGTCATGCAGAGGGTAGCAGCTGTTTTCAGTGGTCCCTGGAGCCTGCTGGAGACAGGTGGTCCTGTAAAAGCTCTGCTCTTAATGCGGGCACATTCCACTCCCATGTGTCTTCAAAACCTTTTTGGGGAATGTATGTTTTTTCAGTTGATACATAATAGAACAACGTTTATGAACCTGCCATTTGCTTTGTAATGTAAGAGAATGTAATGGCATCTATATTCAGTGAAAGTGTTTTGATGTGCATGTGTACTTTCTAAGGTGAAATGCATCTATATATACAGACAGCCTTTAAATCACACCTTTCAGTATACTTTATATATGTTTTCATACTTTCCTTGCTGGTGTAAAGGTTTTGTATTTGTAAAAGTTATCTCTAGTGTATTACATAAAAGGCTTCACCTCATAAAGTCAAATCATTGATATCATTGAATTTTAGGAAGAATCAATGGTTAAGCATATATAAAATATATATATATAATACTAGCTTTTTTGTTTTGTTTAGTTTTTGTTTTTGTTTTTGTTTTGAGACGGAATCTCGCTCTGTCGCCCAGATTGGAGTGCAGTGGCTCGATCTCGGCTCATTGCAAGCTCCATCTCCTGGGTTCACACCATTCTCCTGCCTCAGCCTCCCCAGTCCCCAGCTGGGACTACAGGTGCCCACCACAACGCCTGGCCAGTTTTTTGTATCTTTAGTAGAGATGAGGTTTCACCATGTTAGCCAGGATGGTCTCAATCTCCTGACCTCGTGATCCATCCGCCTCAACCTCCCAAAGTGTTGGGATTACAGGCGTGGGCCACAGCACCCGGCCTATAAAATGCTAATATTAAGTAAACTTTATACTGGCCAACACCAGGATATATTCTATGGATGTCATTATTTTGAATAAGAATTAGTGTTTAACATTCCTAAATTGTTTTGAGTGCTTGATTATAATTTGTAAAAAATAATGTTTATTTTTAATATTTCTTTACATTTTAAACAAAGCTTATATTTCAGAAAATAAAAAAAAGATACAGAACATGGCCAGGTGCAGTGGTTCACGCTTGTAATCCCAGTACTTTGGGAGGCCTAGGTGGGCAGATCACTTGAGGTCGGGAGTTTGAGACCAGCCTGGCCAACATGGAGAAACCCCATCTCTACTAAAAATACAAAAATTAGCCGGGCATGGTGGCACCTGCCTGTAGTCCCAGGTACATGGGAGGCTGAGACAGGAGAACAGCTCAAACCCGAGAGGCAGAGGTTGCAGTGAGCAGAGATTGTGCCACTGCACTACAGCTTAGGTGACAGAGTGAGAATCCCTCTCGGGGGGAAAATAAAAAAGGTACAGTACATTTTCATCACCGCAATGCTGTCCCTTATACTAGTGTTTTTCATTTCCGCAATTTTGTCTTTTCTACAATGCTATACAAGTGAAACCTTATAGTATATAACGTTTTATGG